AGGAAGAAACCGAGGCACAGCTCCTACAGCCGGACCCAGCTCGGTACCTGTTGATGCAGAAGAGCGCCATGCCCTCGCCGCGCGGGCGCACGGAGATGACGTCAGTGGAGCCCCGCGTGGCACGGCGGAAGGCTCCAGAACGCGCAGGGGCGGCCGCGCGCCTCCTGCCGGCGGAGGAGGGGAGGCGCCGCGCGGGCCGTGAGGGGAAGGCGGGAAGCGCTGAGGGGACAAAAGCGCCGCCGAGGCACCGCAGTCGTGGCCTTCCCCAGCCCCGCATGGCACCAGCTTAGGAGACACCGAGGCTCGGGAGAGCGCAGCATCACTGCAGGGACAGACCGGCAGCCACGAGGCTTTACCACAGCACCACGGGCTGCAGCACAGCTCACACAAGTGCTGGAGGGAGTCAGCATGAGCAATGGGGATAGCGGCACCTCGAGCCAGTGAGCACAAGGACTCCTTCCTTGCTTGCTTGCTTGGCCCCACACGGCTGGCATATTGTTAGAGGAAAGCCTCTCTGAAGAAGCAGGCGCAGATCTGGCTCAAAGACTACTTCCACTGTGACAGTGGACACTGTCAAAAAAATAAAAAGCCCTCAAAACCTCAGAGCACAAGAAGTCCTGAAGGCACCTACAGCCTCTGGAGTCCAGCAAGGTAAAAATCACCCTAGGGCACAGTCAGGTGCCTGCCACTCAGTGTAACCATACTGTGAAATATCATGCCTGAGAAACTGAAACAAACCTAAATAATTTCTTTTATTTGCTTTAGCAATAAGAGTGAAACACATATGTTGCCAACTGCCGAACTCCATCCCCAACTTGCCAAAGCCTACACCAGACAGATTACTTCTCAATCTTTATTTGTCTTCTATACAGAGAAAACAGAGGAATGTTGAAGCAGCAATATTTAAACACACTAAGGAAGAGCCATCAATCTGTGAGAGTGCACAAAATGTAACACAGGGCCATTTGTGCAGTGGTCTCTGCTAAGGAACAGGATGGGGGTAGGTCCAGAAACAGCCTCTTCAGACAGACGTGAGAGGTCTACGCAAAGGTGGAGCCGTTCCAGCCCACATTGGCAGCATTCATGTCAAAGTAGTTGATGTACACCCTGCAGAAGAGGCACAAGAAGACACAGACAATGACCTTATTAACTTTATGTACATATATATATAAACTAATAAGCAAGGCAGGACAACAGAACAGGGGACACTGCTTTCCATTCCTCAGAAGAAATTTCAAGCTTTGTTTTTGACTGAAATCCCACTAACTTCTCTAGTAGAGCCTCCAAACATTCAATATTCCTCAGAGTCCCTTGAATTGTACTCTTTTTATTTATTTTTAATACAAACTCTCCTGTAGTCAGTGACTGTCCAGACACCAGACAGCATTTGGTCAGCAGTCTGTCAAGAATTTCTGGAGACCAAGACCTTCTTTTTTCTAGCACTGCAGTCCTTCACACATGTCAAACAGACAGGCAGCCTTATGAAAGCCTCAGGGCCAGCTCTGCACTTCTCCCTTCCACTCCAGCACGTCACTGGCAGCAGATTGCTCCCGTCCTTCACTGCTGCTCACAGACACTCCCCCAAGGCTCTGCAGCCTGTGAGGGAGTCGTTCACAGCCTGCTGGGTTCTACTTTGCCTGTCAGCTCCAGCCCGTTACTGCTTCTCCCTTGTGCTTTCAGCCTCCCATTACACCTCAGTGGGAAGAACACCCTGTACAACTTGTCAGTCCTCTAGGATTTTTTCCCTGCTCTGAAAACAGGAAGCCATGGAACAGAGGACTCTTAAGGGAAAGATGTAGACATCCAACTCTTAGCTGGACATGAAAACACTGCAAATCATCACTTCGTATTTTCTCAAACACATATACTTATTCCTGGCTTTTTGCATTTTTAAATAAACTTTTCAAAGCAGTTTCAGAGAGCCAGATAATGCTAATCACATTGTGTCCCAGCCTTACCTGTCTGCAGATACATGCAAGTGTTTGGAGATCAGGTCACACAGGAGCTTGGTATAAGTCTTGTTCTGCTGTCCTCCAATTTTGCCAATGCTGTAGAGGCTGCAGAGTGCGCAGGGATCAGTGGAGCCCCCAAAGGACATCATCTGATCAGGTATGATGTGCACAGCGATGTACTGGGGGACGAGAACAAACAGTTACAGGGTATCTCACCTTCACTCTCCTGATGTAAACTTTCTTTAGGTACCCACTTTAAGTAGCACAGCCATGTGCTGTATTGTGGCCCAGGCAGCTCGCCAGCGCTGCCCTCTGCACTCTTAGAGGCCCAGGCATTGCAGTCCACAGGGGCGGCATGGCAGCACATGCTGCAGGGATGCCCCGAGCTTGGCTCACAGCTTCAGGAATGAGGGTTGTGTTGTGCAACACCACAGGCGAGAGAGGTACCCCTGCCTGCCACAGCACTGCCACTGCATGGGGCAGTGTGCAACTAGAGATAAAGGCTTAAAACTATATCTGCGTGCCAGAAATCACATCCTCAAATCACTGACCGAGGCACCAGGGCTGAGTCTGCAGTTCAGCCTTCCCGGGCTCCGATTTCTCAGGCTGCAGTGGTCTGGCCCAAGAGGGGCCGTTTCCGATCCCGGGATGGCCAGACACAGCTCGGAGGCAGACCAGGGCCGAGCTCCGATACCCGTTACT